GTATACAGGTGTCGCACGATTCCTTTGCAGTTGAGGACATGATTAAAGAGGTGGATTTGGACGGAGACGGCAAGATCGACTACGAAGGTATGACATCCCGGCTGCCGCTGCCACCACTGCCGCCGCCTCCTCCGCTAACAGACCACGCGTGTCTCCCTCTTTACACTTCACCGAGCTCACCTCTGAAGCCAGTCCTCAAGGGCTTCCTTCCTTCTCCTGGGAACCTTCTCTCAGATATGCAGTGGCGGATGTTTTGTTCGAGCTGTTAGCGTGGCGGTAATACTGATGGCGATACACAGACACGCATGAACACGTCTTCTGTGCGTGGCGGCTTTACAACAAACATGTTTAACGGCATGTTTAACAAACTCCCACGAGACAAAATTACAAGGATTAATGCCACTATGACCATATCAGGAGTGAATAATAGTGAGTATCCAAGTATTATTAACTCCTGTTCATATCTATGCGTACAGATGAATAGACATAATATATGTTCACGTTAGTACGTGCAACACGAACTAAGGTAATATATGAGCAACATGTGTAAGATTGCTAGGTAAGGGGGCTGTTAATGTCGAAATTTCAACAATAATTTATTAGAAGAGATTTAGCATTAGAGGAAAAATACAACAGTCGGCCCCAGTGTATATTATAATTTGGGCAAACAGAGTGGGTAATTCTAGGAATCCTAGCATAACCTAGAGAGTTTGTCGGAGGGTATAATTCCGATATTTCAACACGAACTAGGAGAGGGTTACGAAGATCTGAGGAAAATCCACGCCAAACCCACGGCATGTTAGAACTCGGACACGTACGACCGACTGTCCAAGATGCTGTCATACTGTCCTAACTTACTGTCCGTACTGTCTCGATAGACACTATAGTATGCAGGGCCACGTGCGCAGGCAGCGTACGCGGCTGACTGCCTGTGTACATGTGCTATAAATATCTAATCAGTGACAGAGAAAGCGCGATGTGCATCGTGAGTAGTATACCTTCCATACATCAGCCTTCTATTCTATCTATTAGCATTCTTCCCGCTCGCCGCCATCTCAGTTCTCTTGCTTCGGGTTCGAAGCAGTTGTTTGCTTATAGGGAGCGTTCACAAATGACATCACCTCTCGAGGGGGGAGGGGGTTTGCAAAAAGTGATCTCTTCTCTCCTTCTCTCATCTTGCTCCTCTCTCGTCTCTCTCTCATCTCTCACTGTCTGCTCTCTCTCTCTCTCTCTCCTCTTCCGCGCTGCGCGCGCTCTCCTCTTTCTCTCTCTCTCTCTCATCGTCTCTGCTCTCTCGCTCTCTCTCTCTCTCTTCTTTCTCTCTCCTCTCTCGTTCTCACGCTTTTTTTGCTCTCTCTTCTCTCTCTCTCCTCTCTCTCTCTCTCACTCTGCTTTTTCTTTCTCTCTTCTCCCTCGCGCAGCGCTCTCTCTCTCCTCGTCTCTCTCTCTCTCTCTCCCTGCTCTCTCTCTCTCTCTCTCTCTCTCTCTCTCCTGCTCTTCTTCTCTCTCTCTCTCTCTCGTCTCCTCTCGTACTATCTCCTCTCTCCCCCCCCCCTCTCTCTCACTCACTCTCTCTCTTCTCTCTTCTCTCTCTCTCTCTCTCTCTCCTCTTTCTCTCTTTCTCTTCTCCTTCTTCTCCTTCTCTCTCTCTCTCTCTCTCTTTTCTGCAGACTGTCTGCAGCTGTCTGGATGGAGAAGGAGCGAGACCCGCGGGGGACAGGAGGACCTGCAGCCGGTCTGCAGCTGTCTCTGCGCTAGATAAACGGGATTTCACTGCGAAACCTCAATCAGACAATCGTGACAGCGCAGGCGAAATCATATTTTCATTGCCCACCTGCGCGCCCCCTGCAGCGTGCTAGCCCCGGGTTAGCCCGGATGTAAACGGGTGAGTAATCGAGTGCTAACAGACACCGTGACGTGTGCGATGACATTGTGACGTGTGCGATGACAGTTATGACGTAGTTGATGAGCATGTGACGTGTGCGTGACATTTTCACGTGTCTGTGAAGA